TTTCCTGAAGAAGTCCTCCTCGAAAGCATATACCTACCTCCCTTTAGCTGATACCCCTAGCGCACTTTGCGTAAGCTAATAAACCTTGATAGTATGCGTGACGTGAAAACGAAAGAGTTTCCTTTTGAAAGTCTTTTTGATGTCTAATGCATTTTCGTAGACAGTGGTCACATACGCCACCATAATTATTTAACCAGCTGATGAATTATGAAAGAGAAATCATGAGAAAATATCGATTATTCTTTAATTGATGTTAATAAATTTATTGAAAAAGTGAAATTCAAATTTTGGGAAGCAGCATAAAATAAAATTAATTTGATATTACCTTTTTGTATATTTTTCACATGTCACAGAAGGGGCTTTTGAAAGAAAATTCTTAATAGCCAAAACTGATCTACATGAGTAAGATTTTGCATTCAGTTTATTCTAAAATAGGGCTTGATCTAAAATAACGAAAATACATTTTTTTTCTATAGTATTTAATCATGTTACAATGTCTATCTTATTGCAAATACAGATTAATAGTTATCGATTATTCAAATTTTGGACCAAACATTTAGTTTTTCTTCCCTGTGGGTTAACCCAGTTGTTGCAAAGAACACAAAGGCTATCTAACACTAGATTGCCCAAGTCATTTTGACTGCTTTTTAATTTCAATTAGAAAAACAATTATGTATATAATGACACAATTTCTTAGAATTTTGTGACTTTTTGTACAACAAATAAATGCGTTTATTAATAATTGTAATTAGCCCCTTCTTTCATTTCTGGTATATATATGTATTATAATATTGCCCAAAAGTAGTCATTTTGAATTGGGAAATTTTAAATAATCAATTGACTCTTATTATTGAATTGAGTAAATTTCTTATATGACCAGTTCGGCTCTGTATTGAAATAACAGGTTTCTTTCTTTTTTTTTTTTTTTTTTTTTTTCCGATTGCCGTCACATGATAACATACAAGTACGTGATAAATTGTCGATTTGGGCGTATACTTGATAAGTTGCAGTTTCTCAATAAGCTAAAGTAGTACTTGTTATTCGAATCTCAGTGAACACGTTATTCTGAAACTTGTCGAGCCATATGCAAGCTGAGGAAGAAAGATCACAACCGATAACTTTTCCACTAGCATGTCACTCGCGACAAAATTGTTGGCCAAAGAAACAACTCTAGTTGGTTTTGTAGAGGAAACAAAAGAGAACTACCCAAATCAGCCAAACAAGACGAAGGATAGCATGCCTAGTTTTTCCACTCTGCTATATAAATCAGAGAATTGTGTTCTTACAATATATAAAAGCAAACCAAATAAAAGAATAGCTGTTCTAAGTTCCAAGCATAAATTTGTAAAAATTGATAAAAGTAATAAAAAAATGTTACCGGAATCTATTCAATTTTATAACAGCACTAAATTTGGAGTTGATATGACGGATCAAATGGGCAGAAAATATACAGTAAAAGCTAGTTCTCGTAGATGTGCCCTCCAAATATTTTTCAATATTTTAGGTTTGGCTGCTATAAATGATTGGATCCTTTCAAAGAAACGGCAGGAATACAAATGCAACGAATAGAGTTCTTGCTTCAATTAGCAGAACAGCTTTCCACCGAATACAGAGCTCCAAGACAGAAAAAGTCATCAGAACATGAAAACCCACAAAGATCAGCTACTACATCCCCAAATGCAACCCATTCTAACAAACGCAAAATTTGTCAAGTACGACTTTACCACAACAACAAAACAAATAATATATATGAAAAATGTCAAAAGTATGTTTGCGGAAGATGTACATATAAAAAGATTTCCACTTTCATTTGCAAAACATGTACAAATAATAATGCATAAATTATTTTTTCCAAGTGAAGTAATTTTTTTATTGTTAATATTTACTAATAACTTGTTATATAACTGTAAATAATATAAAAACTATTTAAAATTAATTTTAAACAAATTTCTTTACACATTAGTTATTTTTTCACAATGCAGTCATTTTGACTGCTTTGGGGTAGTTATAGGTATATACTAAGTTTCACTCATTCTAGTGCGAACTAAGGCGAGAGACGCCTTCATGTAAGACTTACTCGTATTTGCGTTCTGCATGAAGAAATCCACGTTTTAGGTTGAAACACTCTGAAATGCTTAAATTCGCCAATACGGTGACTTACTGTCTCTACTGTAAGGGAGGAGAATTCAAATGTAATTTTACATTAAAATTATCGAGCTTATCTTTGCCGAAGTAGGTTCTCATTAATCAAAAATCTTAATTAGGTTTCAAACAATCCTTGAGAGAAAATGAATAAAAGCAGTATCAGGTTTCAGGTATTTTGCTTTTTTTTTTCCTTTTTGTCCTAAAAATAATAATAGCTTATAATAAATTGCTCTTAAACTGCTTCATTTCAAAATTGATCCTTCTTTCATGTGAGTTGGATGTCATTTGGTCGCACCGGATGAAACGATCTGGGTCTTTCATGAAAAGTCAACCATGAAAATGCTAGTATATATATATATGTAAGTCAATGATAATCACGATATATAAATCCTAAGTCCTGCAATAGGCTGTACATCTCTAAGTTTGGCCTTTACATCACCTTTCCTATGTATTAACTGAGACATACTCTAGCGCACTGAGGCACGTTATACAGAGACGCTATACTGAGGCATTCTATACCGATAAGTTAGTGTTACGATGGAAGAGAACGTATTAAATTTAATGAAAGGAATTAAAAGAGTATTTGTATATGTAAAGTGGATTTGTTTGTATTTTCTGTTGAGTATTGTATAGTTTAAGAAGATAGATAGCAACTTTCAGATTGTAGCCTAAAAGAAGTAGACCTCAAACTTGAACACAATTTGTGTTGAAATACAGAATGATATAGATCCAGACATGCACGAAGTTTTAAATTTTTTCATAAATTTTATTCTCTAGTTTCGTAATTCTACAGTTTCGTGAAAAGTGCCGTTAAGTAGCTCAGAGGGCGGCAGGGGGAAGGCTTCGACTGCAGTACTAGATCTCCTGGAACAGGTAATATTTCTAGTGCAATTTAATGTATCATAATCCTTATTAATCCCTTAGTATCTTTTCACATCTTTGACGTCATAAAATAAATGCGTGTATGCATACATAAAATACATGTATATTGGGGGATCCTTCTGTCATGGGGTTGAAATTTTTATTTCTTTTACGTCCGGCTCTTCTTATCTGTGAAGAGGATCAATCATCTGCTTATGTCGTGAATGATATATGAGACGTACAACGTCACGGGAAGCAACTCATGTGAAGTTTTCTTTGGAGAAGAATGGAATGAATGAAATAGTATGTGCGTGTTTAAATGAATTAAATTCCTACGATACGAGCAAGGCTGCCCTTTTCATTTCTCCGTTGATAAAAATATGAAGTGCCTGTACCGGGAAGTAATTCGTCATCAGCCTTCGTCTTGTGTTTACGGTGGTCATGATGATTCATTCTTGTTTACTAAAATCGTTTTGTGTTTTGGTATATAAACACATCGAAGCCCTAATGGAGTTTAGTTTTGCAAGATATTTTTTGGAGTTATACTAACTACAGTGGCATCAAAGTGGTCTGTACAGATATTGAGGATTCATAAGAGTCAGTGAGTGATTTTATTATAAATATTTTGGATTTTGATTAGCGAAATTAATTTTATATAATGAAAGATAAATTTATTTATTTTATTTATAATTACATTCGTTTACTTTGTGGAGCTGCCATGTCTTTCAAATACGAAATTGTTGATTTTTTTAATTTTTCAGAAATGCTTAACATTTAATTGATTGCGGTCTTTTGCCTTTTTATTTGTTTCTAGCAAATTCAGGCCAGAACTATGTTAATTTCGAAAAAATAAAGTTGCTTCATTCTTCGTAAATGTGATATTATTTGGATAGATTTGTATTTGGGCAACCCAAGCAACCAGAATCCTTTTCTGTTGCTGCCCTCAATTTGTAATTAACACTTTAGAATATGTAGTAAAGTTTTGACATAACTCTTGCCTTTGATATATTTCTTCTGACATGCGATCCTATAGATTGCTTTAATGATAGACTGTTTATTGTGTATACTACTATGAGCGGATATGGATAATAGATTATGGCAAAGCACTGGGCTGTAATGCCTGAGAAGAAATATTAGTAGGAAGCACAAATGTATGACCAAAACTTCCCAGCTTCTTTAGTATCTTAATATAAGCAACTGAAATCAAACCCAGCTTCAGTATTTTCAACGACATAGATTATCAATGCAATTTATACCCCGTAAAAATGAAATATATTAGTATTTAAAGATTAATTCATTTTTGGTTAGCTTCCACTTGTGAGAACAACATTAGCTTGCGCCTTTCAAAAATTGGCTTCGTTGACGTTGTGTTCCCTGTGCTTAGAGCCGGCCGTGTTTAAAATATATTAGGATTGTTATTACGTTTAACCTTTCCTAAAATTATATTTGATAACTTTGAATTAACTCCTTTATATTCTCAATGGTATATAGTTCTGGGGAATTTATTTGCTAAGCCAGGTTCTAATTACCAGAGTTCATATTTATTTCGCATGGGAAACTGAAGTTGTTATATTCATTATAATAAAGCAAACGGATACTAGCTATGGACCTTTAAGACACGGAGGCCTTTGGGATGACTTTCTAAGGAAAATTGTTTGTATTCACATAGCATATAGCTAAACCAAAAATTGCTTATGCAAAATTTTTTTTTTTTTTTTTTTTTTTTTTTTGTAATACCTAGTGACGAAGAGATTGCCGAAAAAGATCATAAAGCAAACTTCTTGACTATTTTGGAATAAATCCTCCCCAGGCTGCGAGCTAAAAATAATGCAAAACTGTGTCCGCTTTGAGCGCGTTGTTACGTTTTACGTTTCTGCCGCGCGCAACGATTCGAAGTGGCAGAACAACCGCGACTCGTTTCAAGACCTGTCGTGGGCGAGCCAAACCGGCAACGTCGTCGAGTAAAAGAACACAACTTTTTACGTAGGGGTTAAGTATGTACTACTGCCAGAGAGTTTTCGGGGCGGGGGTAGAGTAGAGTAGTGCTTTCTTGGCATGGTTCGCGACGCACTTACCGCACCTACCTCTACAGCGCCGGAGGATCATCTGTTCTGCTTCCTTCTGGACCAGGTTGCCTTCGCTATTAACGGCGCTCTCGTCGTACCTCGAGCTTGTCATTATTGCTATAACACATGCAGTCCTGTTAGTTAATTTATTGCGTTTAGTTAACAAGGTGTAGTGAGATCAGTGCCTCTGGATTTGTTTCTTTTATTTTTAGCAACCATTCACGATGAGCGGTAAGCAGTAGTTTTTGGTTTTCTCTTTTAGAATTTGTAACTGTATGTTTTACCTTGAATCATGCAACGTTGTGTTTTTTTTTTTTTTTTTTTTTTTTTTTTGAAGCTTTGTGATTTTCAGTTAGCCTTAGCGTTGAAATTTTAACTGAAAAAGCGAAGACAAACGACTGTTAGTTTTATCGATTTGCTTGCTAGATTCAGATTTATATAGTAACGCATAATAATAGTGTTTTAAATTTTTTAATTCTCTAAAATATAGTCAAGATGTAAAAGCCGATGCTTTATTAATATTATATCACATATTAGTAATTTAAGGAACTGGAAATACTCTTTCTGCACTTTGCAGTGATGATAAAAAGAGCTCGAAATGACGAATGCACCATCGAATTTTCTGTTCAGATTTTACTTTTAAAATTCTCCTTTAATAGTTACCAGACAGTTACTGTTCTAGGTAAAGTGAGATAACCTCTATCCGTATATGAAGTAAATTTTAGACTAGACATTTTAATTAGCATATTCCTGATTTTAAAAACATTTTACTGAGATTAAAATTGATTTATGATTGGTTTTAGAGATATTTAATCCACATGTAAACTAATTACGTGTTTGTGGGGGGGAAAGGTCTTGCAAAGGGAACTTTTAACTGATCCAGGGAAATTTATAGTGACTTTGTTGTTATTATTATTGATTTGTTTAATCTATTTTAATGTAATCATTTTGTGTATTACATAAAATTTGCTTTAAGTTTTCGCCCTTCTGCTTCTCTTCTAGCGGCGTATTTCAGCCGTTAGCGCTGGCATGCATTTCACGAGCAATCAAACGTGTGAACTGATATTTCTTAGAATCCAGTCAGTTGAATTGGATAATACCGTTTTTGTTATTTATTTTTTGTACATTAATAATGGCCAGTTGTTGCTTTCAATCTATATCCGAACAGCGAAGTCACTTTCTGCAGCTCGGTAAGATTAACAAATTTAATATACTGCCTGAATTCTATCATTATTCTTTATATTACAAGAAAGAAATTTGTCAGTGAGTTGATGCAGCAGTGTTCTTGCATAATTAAATAACATGTGGCACAAAATTGCTTATCGCAATGAAGTATGTCGACTTACGCCATTTTCACTTGTAAAACATTTGATCGGAGAAACTTTCCTCTTCTCCATTGGGAGATGTGTGATTAACCTTTGTGTTATTTGAAATGATAGTTTTTAAGCCGGTAAATCAGTTTCTTCTTTTAGAAACACCTTGTATTGATTGACTTTCTCATGTATTTTTATGCAAAGTCGATATCAGAAAAAGAAGTAACTACACTACTGATATTAAATAACAACGAAACCCCTTTTCAAATGGCAGATATTTTATTTATGTATCTTGTTACTACTGAAGAATATCAAAATATTTTAAAAAGCATACTGGCTTGCACTGCTGTTAAATATTATGATTTGAAAGGTTTAAAGATGGCTGGGCTGTGAGCGGTAAATTAACGATTTCTGGTGCCAATTTTATTTCGATTTTATTAATTTTCTTTTTTCTTCTGACACTGTAGTGCATCATACAATATCCAGTGCGTTTTACCAGCGGTTTTATTAGAAGTAGCATTTGATTAACTAATTAAATTTCGCTTTTATTAAGAATTATTATTATTCTTTATTTCGTAATAACAATATAGTATTTGAAATTAAGCACACAAAAAAATATTCGATTAGCGTAAATTTCATATAAAACCGTGCCGATTTCGAGGGCGATCAGACATAAATCTTTCTTTTTCAGGAACAAAGTTTATTTATTATTTTACAAAAGTTGCTTTGATGCTAAATGCTTATGTTTAATTGGCCAAAATTATCTGGCCGCTATAAGCTCTGCTATTAAGTCTCCAAGTGCATATCACGTAAAAAACCCAAGCAAGCTTTTGGAGGGGAAGAAAAGCAAGAAAGCAAATAAAAGGAGAAACCACATTATCATAAATGTGGATAATCTTATCGTCTGGCAACGCGAAACTGGACGATGCGTTGTTACAGGTGCTTATGCTATACAAATGTATAAATGCCCGAGTCAGTTCAGCCGTGATAAGCAATGATAATAAGGCTTCAATGGCGCATTATAAAAACAATAAAAAAAGGTGCTCACTAAGAAAACAGAAGAAAAGCCAGTAAAAGAACAGACCATAGTTTCATAAATACGAAAAAACATAACATCGCTAGATAAGTCGGATTGGCAGAAGTGCACACTACCTACGTAAAGCATGCTGAAACAAAGTATGTATAAATATTGGTAAATATACATCCAAAATTATGGTATGGCTGGAATACTTGCTTTCTCGCAAGGCTTTAAGATTACCGTATTTGACGGCATATAAGACGCACTTTTTTTCCTAAATTTGGTCTCAAAAAAGTTACCTGCGTCTTATACATTAAGGTAATTGCATTCAATAATTGTTTATTTGGCTTTTACGAAACGGAGAACTAAAAGAAACCACGCTATTGAAACTTTTTTCGACCGATAACCATGCTGTGTCCTTGAAAAAAGAATTGAAACCCCTACATTAGTATAGGGAAAATACAAACACATTCCAAAGAAACGAGCTTTCAATCATCTCATTTTAAATATAAAAAACTAGTTGTTTTGTTAAGAATTACATCACAAACAAAAAACATTTAATCTAAATATAAAGCAGCGTTTGTAAAGTGTTGCAATATCAACGATGCGAATGAAACAATATCGCGCGATTTATCGCTGACGACCTATCAATAGTAAAGTATGATGAAGAAAAGGCCAAGTAACGAAATTTTCTTAACAAATACATAATACAAATCTACAAATGTAACTTTTAGCTAATTTTGTAAGCTAAATTTTGTTCAATAACTGCTGAAAATTTACCTTGAAGTATATGGGTTTCATATAGGAAACTATAAGTGACAGTGATACTTTTATTTGCAAAAAAAAAAAAAAAAAAAAAAAAAGTGTCGTTTCTTAGAAACAATAAAAGATATTTCGAATTCGCGCAGCATAATGTCTTTCGCTTTTATCTCATACTGCAACAGTATATTACTTATTAGTACATAATAATTAAGCGTTTGAAAGCAATATGTATATTTTGGTAAGATTTTGATGTTTCTCTTTGGCTATTAAATGATAATACTGCAGGTGAATTAAACATTTAGTGTAAGTTTCTCTGAAAAGCAATTCCATGAAGCAGTTTCATTTTGGCTATACGCCAACGATTATCCTTTGTGAACTTAATTGGAATCTAAAATTATAGTGTGTTTTGCTATCTTGTTTCTGTATACTTGTTGACAGCCCTTCCCCCCCTCCAATGGGCTATAAAGCTCCCTTTTTACGGATGTTGTGGTGCACGAGTTGACTTGACAGCACATACAGTTTTCTGTGCTTAGTAAAAAAACAGTGGCATCTGCTTCCATTGCGCTAACAATAATAATAAATTTCTTGAGTACCATAGATTATTACCCTTTATATGTATTTTTTTATAATTATATTTTGATAGATTGTTAGCCATTTTATTGATGACCTGAATGGGTATTTTTTATATTTAAAATTTAAAAAAAAGGGAAAGATTTGTAAGATTCCCTTTTTGGGGTATATATTTAGCAATATTTGATTCGTAAAATTCTTGCGAGCAAATATTTTTTACCGTAGAGAAAACATTTGCGATTCATATCATACATATAAATGCATAAATATGTCTCGTGATACAAAGAATTTTTTTTTTATATTTACTTTTCAAACAGCCATATAAAGATTCATTTCTTTAGTTCTAAAGGTAAATTTCAAGAGATCAAATTTTCTCTCTCTCTTTTTTTTTTTTTTTTTTAATTCTTTTTATATAAGACAGTTATAAGCATGAAACTGTTTAAACGTTTCGCTGTGTGTATAAAAAATACTGCGGCAATATATTGTTTATTATTTGCACAAACTGAAATAAATTGTATTCTATATGCTGTTAAACAAATCTAATTCTATCTCATATTATGTATCCAAATGCTATATAGAGTCGGCTTGAATATATCTGGTGCAGACAGCGTTAAGTCTGCATCAGATGGAACACTGTTCCAGTTTGTGTTTTCTTGGGGAAGAAGTGATTTACATAATATGACGGAAGTAAAAAATATAACGAACATTAGTGCTTGCTGGCTTTTTCTTCACCGGGTTTCTATTTCGAATGATGAAAAGGAAGATCCCAGTGCGCGACACCGCAACAAAAAGAAGATTCTTGCTGAAGTTTCAGTGCTGTCTTTTATCTGCAGATCTCGCTGGCTGACAGCCCAAAATGCGTACCAGGCGCCTTTCCCTCACCTTACCTTTTCATTTTTTTTTCCTTGCATGCACTAGGTGTTCGTTCCCTTTGAAAAACCGACATTTAAATGGCTTCGAGTGTTTCTTGGCAGAGACGATGGAAAAGCTGCAGATGTTGTGGTCTGAAAATTGAAATTCAAGCCAGAGGAAAATGGAAGCTCTTATTCCCTCCTCCCTCTTTAATCTTGTCAGGGAGGATCTTGAGTTCAGCTAGCTTTATATGTTTCTGTTTCACGCAACCTTGTCAGGGAACATTAACTGACCTCAGAAGCAGAAAATTGAGACAACTGAGTTCGCCTATTTGCCTTACGTCCCGTTGAAATCGACTCTTCATCGATTTGGTTTGGTTTAGATGGTTATAGCAAAGCACTCTAGGGCTATCTGCCTAACGGGAGGGATGCCTTCGTAGAGGATTTTCTAAGGAAACTGGCTCGTATGCACGTTACACATAAGAAAAACCATAAAACCGTCCATGCAGCCAGCCCGTTCGCCTGAAATCGAACTCCACAAGTCACTTGGCTTCGTATTTGAAGTGACCAAAAAAACTGCTAGTCTTGCTTGCAGTTTCAGTAATATCAGATATTAGCGAAAGAATTTCGAAGGGATTAAAAAATGACTTTCTAAAAATATGCGAAAAAAGAGTAATATTTCATTAGATGGGGAGATCTTCTGAATATTGACACTCA